TGTTGATTTTAAATGATTTTTTTAATAACTTCTTATTTTTCCCCTTGGTTGATTCGTTTTTGAACATTTGGTTTCAGGTTGCATTGGCCGAAAAGACGGCTGTTTTATTCACTAAAGATGGAGAGCAACATAATAACCTTCACGATATGCAGTGCATGTGGTGCGTATCTAGGCAACTATTGAATTATTTTTGTTTTAGAAACCTTTGTTGAATCTTTTGTTATGTGAATTTAAGGTATGAACTAGCATCAGGAGAAAGTTATTTCCGCCAAGGGGACCTTGGACGGGCTTTGAAGAAATTCTTAGCTGTGGAAAAACATTATGCTGACATTACTGAGGACCAATTCGACTTCCATTCTTATTGCTTAAGGAAAATGACTCTCCGCACCTATGTAGAAATGCTGAAATTTCAGGATCGTCTACATTCATATTCTTATTTCCAGAAAGCAGCTGCTGGAGCAATCAAGTAATGCCTTCTATTCTGTTTATGATCTCAACATCTGATATCAAATTTTATTCCTTCTGAGCATCCAATTTTGCTTTTGACGGGTGTTAATATTAATGCTATTCAAGGTACTAATATATTGAACAATTAATGTTATGTGATCTTCTTATCTAATCCTTCGTGCTTATGCTTACTTGAAATTTGTATGCAGATGCTATTTAAAGCTATATGATTCTCCTTCAAAGTCGAATGCAGAAGAAGATGATGAAATGTTGAAGTTGCCTCCTTCTCAAAAGAAGAAACTCAGGCAAAAACAGAGGAAAGCGGAGGCCCGAGCCAAGAAAGTAATTGAGCTTGTAGCTTTTCTACGAAAAAAGTACTCCAAACAATCTGACAATAGTTTTTTGCATTTTTAGGAGGCTGAAGTGAAAGAAGAAACAAATGTTACTGCAGTATCAAAATCTGGAAAACGCCCTGTGAAACCAGTAGACCCAGACCCTCATGGAGAAAAGTTATTAATGGTATTTTGGCCACCTATACATTGGATTCACTGGCTCGTAGATATTTTAGTTGTTAGTCCTGTGTTCAGTTCAGGCTTTGTCCTTGCTTTTGGATCTCTTAGATCTTATCCTAGTTTATATCTTTAACTGTCATTTAGCTGAGTGCCTATTTGTTGTTTCTCAATAATCTTCACTCAGAACTGGAATGATCATTTAAAAATAGCAGGGTACATATTTTCACCTGAAGTGTTGTTAATTGTAGGTTGAAGATCCTTTGATGGAAGCTACAAAGTATTTGAAGCTGCTTCAAAAACATTCATCTGAGTCCATTGAAACACATGTACTTTCTTTTGAAGTAAATATGAGAAAGCGAAAAACTTTACTTGCTTTGCAGGTAGGTTTTTGATTCTGAATTCAGAATGTAACTCATCTTATATCCACCTAAATTTTACTTCTGTCAGTCATCATATACTGATTTATTTCAACTGGAATTGTAGCTAGGAAATCTACTCAAATGGTATGTGTAAAATGCAACAATAATATAATTTTGAATTGAAGCTTATTCTTTCTTGAATGATATTATCTCCCATCTCTTTGACCTGCCCTGGGGAGTATATCATGAATGAATTCATTACATGTAATTTCTCCAGTCCCTGGATCGGGCCTATTACATACTAGAACGTATTGTCTTGTTATTTCATGGACATGTAATAAAATGCTCTTTCTTCACTGTAGGCTGTAAAGCATCTGCTGCGGTTGGATGCTGAACACCCAGATTCACATCGTTGTTTGGTATGATTTGATGGTGATATGGTGCATTCATTCTTAAAAAATAGTTACTGGCAGACAATGCTTTTCACATAATTTATATATTGAATATGTGTGTATAACGTGTCTTAAATGCAATTCCTTTGTTGTCCCAAAGGAACTCAGTCATTGTTCTTCCTAATTGTTTGATTTGTTGCAGATAAAGTTCTTTTCTAAAGTGGGATCCATGCCTGCTCCAGTGACTGATGCTGAGAAGCTTATATTGGGGGTCTTAGAAGCAGAACGACCTACAATTAGGTTCTTTTATCCGTTGAACTTTTCATTTTTCTTCTTTCTCTTGGGGGATAAATTTCCTACCCAGTAGGACTGCATCAGTATTTCTGATGTTAGCAATATTATACTCGATTCTCCAATTACTTAATATCCCTGTGCTTATTTTCTTTCACAGTCAGTTGCATGGTAAATCTCTCATTGAAGCAAACACTTTTTTCCTTGAGAAGCACAGAGGTCTGCATCTGACTGTTTCATGTTGTAATCTAGCATTGGTCTGTAATTGTTATGATCATATTATTGACGTAATTTTGGTTTTCTGTTTTCTTAGCAGATTCATTGATGCACAGAGCAGCTGTAGCAGAAATGCTATGTGTTCTGGAACCAAATAAGAAGGGTGAGGCGATCACCTTGATTGAACGATCAACCAACGATCTGGTTTCAACGTAATGTCCTTCAACAATGAAATTTTATGCAAATGATTTACGATTTTTAAATTGGCCTAGTATCTTGGAAGACATTAAACATTGAACCTCCCTGTTTTACCTAAACTAGAATTGGAGAGGCAGTCAGAAAGTGGAGGCTCAAAGACTGTATTGCAGTACACAAGCTGTTAGAGACGATTATCAATGACCATGATGCTGCATCGAGTGAGTACTTATTTTTTCTTTGATTTTTCATTCTTTTAGTCATATTTTGATGCTCTCATTGGTTTTGAGTTCCTGTAGGAAATTAGGGTGCATTGTTTCACATATGGAAGCTGCTCATACCTTGACAAATAATTGAACTCCATTACTGTATATTAGTCTTTAATCATGCTTGAACTTGCTGGTCTTAGACTTGAGCTGTTGCGCCTCACAATAAGTACCTTTTACTTTTCAAAAATTTAATATCTGTGGATCTCCCTGACCTCTGATCTTACAGTGTTTTATTTTTTAAAATAAATTCTAGTTCCCAACATTGAAATGAATGAATCTGTACAGGGGATGGGGATGTTAACCTCTAATTCAAGAAGGCCTACTTTTGCATACACTGATTGCTTTTGTCCTTTTCTGTTTCTTCATCTGTATTAGAATAATCTGTTTCTCCTCATCTACTTTTAGACTTCTTGCTCCTTTTAACTATCTTGAATTGTACTTGTGGAGAAGTTCGGTTTTTTTCTCACTTGACAGGAATGCTGTAAACAGATGGTGTATTGACTATGTTCATGTTTTAGTTGGTTGTGTTGTGTCTCATTCAGACTCAAAGCAATAGGCAGACTAATCGTGCATCTGAATAGATTGTTTAGCTAAATTTCTCAGTTTGATTGTTCTTTTTATCGAAAATGAGGAATGTTTTTTATTGGTCCCCTACTGATGAGATTAAAAATTTACGTTTATGGTTCTGAATTCATATTCTTTTACAGGATGGAAGGTGCAGTGCGCTGAGTACTTCCCATATTCAACATACTTTGAGGGCAGTTGCAGCTCTGCTGTCGCAAACTCAACTTCCCACCAAATTCCAAAATTACCTGAAAATGGTGTTGGTATAGACGGCTCCATCTCTGATCATAATTCTAAATCTCTCTCATCAAATGGAAAAGTTGAGAAACTTGAGACATTCAAGGATCTTGTTATCCAATAATTTATGTGAATCTCCGGGTTAGGTAATTGGTCCAGATGATTTGAGTAACGAATCCATGGCGTGGCTCAGAATATGTAACTAACACAGAGGGGAAATCATCCTGGAAGATGATTTGAATATTTATTAGAAATGCAGGTAGATCCCTGTTGGGAGGCGCCCGATATTTTTCTTTTACCCCCAGTTGTTGGGCATTCCATTGAAAATGTGTATGATTTTCACCCCTTGTGCTTTTTGACTGTAATTTTTATGGTTCCTGCTCAGATACTGAAAAAAGAGGTTCTTTGGGCTTTGCATTGCACTATTCTGAACAGCATGATCTATGGAAGTTTTAAGAGAACTGGTTCTACGATACAACCATTCCCAGGAGCATGTTGTATTTCTTATTTTATTAGTCTATTATTTCGTGAATGTATAAATGTTATTTTACAGGAGAAAATTTTGTCAAGATATTTATATAAATAAATTTGTTGAAGAAATATTACATAGTATTTTGCTACGACCCAATGCCCTTTTTGTCGTCTCCCTTTTATATTGTTGCTTTTGTCTATGGTGAAGTTAAGAAAACTAGGTGATTGAAACATGACATGATCCTGTAATGCGTGCTGAAGATGGTGAGGCTTCAAAATTTTTGGATAATTTTATGATGGGCGAAGGAAATTTAAATAAAAATATTTTAGAAATTATTTTCTTGAGAATAATATTAGTAGGTTTGGCAACCTTCGTGTTTAGTTGTCTTTGTTGAGTTTGGAACTTTAAACAGACTGTTGGTGGTAAGTTCGAGGAAGGTGAAGATAACATCTAGTAATCATGCCATTTGTGTGTTGGGTGGCGACAATGGTTGAGACCAAGTCTTGTGATTCCTTCAGGGTTAGTTAATTTCAAAAATCTGTCATCAATTAGGATTTTAAGCTACAACTCGTTTGCATGAAGTTGGAATTACTTGTCATCGTCGATCAACCGATATGGTAGTGATTTTGTTCCCGACACTACTATGTTCATATTAATATGCCTTGTATATGTATTAAAAAAGAGTCCAGAGTTCTTATTCCCAAGAGACTGATAGGAAACCTATTCTACTTGCAAGGGTCGACTAGCATGTTTTGAAAATTTGCAAGGACTAAATGCTATTAATCTTATTTAGCTGTCACCTATCGATCAATAACTACTGGCAAAGTGAACTTTGAGTAATGAATGAAAAATAAATCACATTTGTTATTTGTTATTCGTTTCAAGAACTTGCCCTCAAAATGTCAGCCAAAGGAAATGTAAGGAGACAGAAATTGCAGTGGTACACAATAGAAGAGAACTGGCAGTCAAAATAGTTTAATCAAACCTAACATTCTTAGTTTCTTACGTCTTAGGTGATGTTGTCCATATAATGACAACAGAATAATCATACCTTTATTTTCTATTTTTCTTGAAACCAGCGTTCAATACATTTGTATAAAGAAAAAGAAAAACTCGAATGGAGAGGCCCGGAAACAAGATCTTGCAGTGCAAGCTGGTGGGTTTATGTATATATTTCTTCTTGTGTTTTATTTTCGATCATGTTTGATACACATTATTAGATTGATCTGGTCCATATAATTTACAATATTTAGCACCCTTCTCTTGCTTAATGTTGTCAACTGCTGGCTAATACTAAATATCAAACATGTCCCATTTGTGAAGATCAATCAGAATATGCGAATAGTCTTTAAATTTTTACAGAAAATCTTCTCGTTTGCATCTATGGTTAGATGGGAACTTTTTGTTGTAACAACAAATTAAGTATTTGTTCTTATATAATGAGTTTGATCATATGAATTTATGGCTCCATCTGTTTGAAGATCGAGTGAAACTATTGTATGATTTCAAAAGATATATCTTCACGAAAAATTAAGAGAAATTAAAGGGTTGACCTTCTTCGAGATAAAAACCTATAAAATGGCCATAATCACTAAAGAAGATACCTTCAACATGTCTCGTCCGGTGTGAAAATTTTATACTGGGTGGCAAAGATACTTGAAATGAAGAATCGTTGCTCGCTCAAAATACAAAATTTTTAGCCCTGCGTGCATATATATGATCTATCTGTTGCATTCTAGAGCATGTTCGGCTAAGCTTGAAAAAGTTCTCTTAAAAGTCAGCCCATGTTTGAGCCCCCTTTTGGTAAGAAAATTATTTTGGAATAGTGATTTTTTTGGAGAACGTGTGTTAAAAAAAAATGGAAAAGTTATTACTTTAAATATAAAATATTCAAATCTTTTTGACCTCATTTTAACGAAACCGCTGTCAATGCCTCTTAAACTTCCATTCCTCTGTGCTTTCTCTTGTTACAGGTCCTTTTGGGGGACATGGGAACTGGGAAAACCAGTGTAGTGCTAAGATTTGTCAGAGGTCAATTTTTCGACAACCAGGTATGTCAAGAATACAAATCGAGGGTATAATATACAAGATTTTAGGTTTTTTCTTCTTTGACATTAGGACCGGCCCTGAAAATTTGGAGGCCTTAAGCAAAAAATAATTTTGAGGCCCAATATTTTTTTTTACATGTGTAACAATATTTTGAGGATTGCTGGTATAATGGACTTAAATATAGACTGTTGTGCTAGTATAATGATATTACTAGGCCCTGGGCCTAAGCCACATTTTTTGAGGATGCTGTCTAGGTGGCTTGGCCCTAGAGCCGGCCCTGTTTGACATTGTCTTGTGTTTCACATTCGACGAACAAGTTTTTGATGCAGGAACCAACTATAGGAGCAGCTTTCTTTACTCAGATAATATCATTACCTGAAGCCACAGTGAAATTTGACATATGGGACACAGCAGGGCAAGAAAGGTACCACAGTTTAGCTCCAATGTACTACCGGGGTGCTGCAGCCGCCATCGTTGTTTATGATATCACAAGCATGGTACCTATTTCAATTCCCTTTAAATAGTTTGGTAAGTTGTATTGGGTATGATTAAGAAAGAATAACATGATAGAATTTGTTGGTCGATTCTATCTCATAAAGCAAGAGTGAAACTTATCAAAATTACATATGAATAGAAGAGTTCTTTAATTTGTGAAAGAAACTAAATTTTCTGTATTTTGTCTTCAGGATACATTTATAAGAGCCAAAAAATGGGTTGAAGAACTCAGAGGGAAAGGTGACGTGTTCCTATTTTCTCATCATGCTTCAAAATCTTCTTGTTTACTGGCATAAGTGATACAGTAATAGATAGAACTTGATATGACTAACTAAGAGAGAGACGTGATAAAATTGAAAAGCATGCCATACAAGAACATGAGTTTTGGGGCAACAATTTGTGTCAATCTTCAAGAAATTTTAGTATAAAATAATTCAACTATTTTATATATTTCTTTCTTATGTCTATTTTTTGCAGCCAGTACAAATATGGTGATGGCATTGGTGGCAAACAAATCCGACTTAGAATCAAGTAGAGAGGTCAAGACTGGGGTACACACGAACAAAATATTTCTCTTGTCAAGTTCTTAATTTATATCGAACTCAATAATCTAAAAATTCAAGCTATTAGACACGAAAATTTTTTCGTCAATATACTTACCTCAGTTGTTTATAATAGATGTCAATATATATATCATCAGCACAAGAATTTGCACTTCAGCCTTGTTTGGGTTAGTCCTTTTTTGTTGAAAAACTGGTTGTGCTCGATGCCCCATGAGAAGTCCAAATAAGCTTTTGAGATCCAAAAGCAGTTTTTGACCGTTTGCTTAATTTTATCGAAGTGTTTCTTCTCATTATAAGAGTTCTTAGAGGAGGTTGACACGATGTGACTTTAAAAAGCTCTTTTAAAAATGAGTTTCCTAATACAAATTAAGGCAACCTTCATAAAATGTTTTTCTACAAAAAGCAAAAATAAAAGGCCTACCAAACATACCCTTTTTCTCTGCCAAAGTTTCGATGATATTCTTTTGCGACATTTTTAATTTCTTGTAGGACGGGGAGCAATTTTCTGATGAAAACGGGATGTTCTTCATGGAAACATCTGCAAAAACTGCTCAAAATATTAATGAGCTCTTCTATGAAATAGGTAAGTTTTAAGTGCTATTATCGCTAACCCCTACTCTCACCTCCACTCGCATAAACAAAAATAGCAAGTTTGGTATTATAGCAAGTTTGTATATGAAAGTTTTGATCAATGAAATTTACATTTACCGATCAGGAAAAAAAAAAAAAAATGCAAGTTTGGTAGTATAACGAACAAGACATTAGCTCTCTCTTGTTCCATAATACTGTCAAAATACCAAAAGATTAGCGTGATTTTACTGGACTGACTCTTTTAGCTCCGTAATTTGCTCTGCTCAACATTTGCAGCAATACGATTGGCCAAAACAATTCTTTCACAGCCCGTTGGGATGACATTGCAGAATAAAGCTCACAGGAAAATATTGTTTTGTTGCTCGAGTTGACAAGTTACATTACATATTCGGAAGTTGGATGAGGACACAACTTCATCGTGGAACTATAAAATGTCCTTGTACTCTTTAATTGCATATAAATAAGTAAAAATCTAAAAAAATTTATTTTGAGGTATTATGATGGTACTAAGGACACAAGATTTGTTCTTCTACATTCTCAGTGTTACAACCGAGGCCTCTGTGCCCAAGTCCTTGTCCGCTTTGAGAGAGCATCTACCCTTTTACTACTCATAGGATTCGAACACTAGAATTGTACCTCACGAGATGCTTAAGCTGAATCATGTTACCAATTGAGTAAGTAAAACAAGCCACGAAGCCTTGAGGATAAGAGTGCAGATGCTCTCTCAGGCAATACTATGATATAATGACTTGAGGACAGAGGCCTTGTGCATTATACTCAGCACCAAAGGATTATATCCTTACATCATCCAGAAAAGGGAAAAAAAGGACATGAACAAACAAAATAGACATGACCAGGAATCAAGCATCATCACCCTCACAGCCCTCCCAGCAAAAGGATCATGAGAAGCACCAGAATCCTGCTCAATATGGCGCTGCACCAGACGCTGCAAATCAGCCATAACCTTCTTCTCCTCATAGTTAAACATTGCCAGCGCCCGTTTGTCCTCAGCACTTGGTTTTCTTTTTCGGACACGGATGGCATTCATTCTCTGATGCCTACTACCACTCATCACATATCCAATTGTCTCAAACTTGTAAATTTCCTCAGCCAAAAGGCCCACTTCTCGTCTGCAAGGAATACGCTTACCTTGCTGAACATACTGCGCAATGGCATCACCTTCACCGGGCATAAGTGCACCAGTATAGCAAACGTGCCCTTCTGCCCTTGGCAAAGGCATTGGCCCAACAACTGGTTCGTTATCCAGAGTCAGTTTGTTCCTAGACTCAATCATTTCCTTAAACTTGAGCAACTCTGCATTATTTTCATTACTCACTTTAGCCTCGTCTACCTTCTGCTTAGCATTCTTTTCATTAATTTCAGAATCAGAGTTATTTTCATCGGCATTGGAACTCTCATTTTCAGATTCCTTCTTCTTCTTGCGGCTTTGAGACTTCAAAGATGAGGCACGCTTTCCCAGACCTTTCACTTTTCCTACTGCTCTTTATCTTCAATTTTCTCCTCCGCCTTCTCCTATTTTCTTATTCCGAATCATCATCGTCATCATCGCTGGACTCCTCTGAACCACTCTTGCTCTCAGATACAGATTTTGATCTCCTACCCTCGTGCCTGGAACTCAACTTTCTACTCTTCCTCTTCTTCCTTGGCAGGGAGTCATCTGATCTAGATTCAAAATCCTCAGGCTTCGACTCAGATTCACTCTCTGATGAATAGCTACTCAATTTTTTCGAACCAGACTTTAATTTGTTATCCTCCCTGCCCTCCTTTTCTTCTTCAACTTTCCTGGTAATTTCATCCTCAGGTTCCAAATCTGAGGATTGGTTTGGATCCCTAGGAGGGCTAGGAGTACAATTCCAAATACAGTTCCTGAGCAATTTTCTCAATTTCTGGCGCTTAAGCCTCCTGTACTCTTCGAATCCCAAGCTTTTCAGTTCTTCATCCAATTCAGACTCTCTCCATGTCTTCCATTTTTATAATCGCGGACGAGAAACGGTTTCTTTCTATCATCATACCTGTTTCTATTTCTTCCGTCAGACTGTAGGATTTCACCAGGCCTTGGACTACGTCTATGGTACGAAGAATAATCAGGAGAAGAGCGATTGTACCTATTGAAGCTGTTGTCAGGCGGGCTACGACTGTAGCTTGGACTCCGACTCCCGCTGCGGCTGCTGCTTGGGCTACGACGCTAGTAATTACGGGATTCAGGCGAGCGGCAACTTCTACTGCGGAGGAAATTCTACCCATACCCATTATTGGGTGTATCCTGTGGTTTCTCATTTTACGGAAATGAGAAATCATTTTGAATGCACTTAAGTCCTCAATCTTTATTTATTATACCATTGAAGTCTTCGAATTTTTTCGTCACATTTTATTCTCAACATTCTACTAATTAGAAGATCCCATCTTTCTTAACGGTTTCACCCAAAAATTCTATTAAGATGGCATAGAAAGCTCGACTCATTGATGGATGACAAAATAATCTTAGGGGACGATTCTTATTGGAAATTGCAACATAATTCATTTCATCAAGAAACAAACTTCTTCGCAGTTCTCGATTTGGGATACTTTCCCCGTTTGTTTCTCATTTTTGGAAAAATGAGAATGAAAAATATAGTCGTTACGAGCCCCACACAAGATATAAAAATTCAAATTTGGTGGCTTTATGTGATGGATAACGATCATATTTTTCATTTTGATGAGGAAAGAATGTTGATCAAATAGAGAAAACTACCAGAAAAAGATAAAAGTAAAACACTTGTGCAAAATGACAATAACAAGTCTTCTTTGCCTTTATAGCCGAGGGTAACTTTTTTTTCCATTGAGTTAGTATAAGATCATGAAGAGTTTACATTTTAGTGTAATAATCTTTGACAGCAATAATAGTAATGAATATGTTTTTGTGAGATGATATAGTTATAAGTAATGTAAACACTTCTAAAAATAATTCTATGTTTCTACTTCTAACTGTATCAGCCTATTCATTTTCCTCTAAGAGCGGCAAGTCGAGCTATAAAGTCATCGTAGTCTGGTAGCTTAGGATGCACATGTCCGCTTGAATTCAGTATTTCGGGCTGGAAGGATGAGGCTCGAGCATGTCCTTTAGGAGTTTTGGGTGGACTTGTTAATTCAACGGGAAGAGACGCTGTTCTCCTCGAAGAACCATCTTTTCTCGTGGTTTTGCTGGTGCCAATACTATCGCGTTCTGGGGATATCTTATGAACTGTGTCCGATTCCTCTGTTTCACGAGGTGCCTTCTTTTCAGCGTAATGTGATAAAAGCCTGTCCAGCCTCCTTTCTTCGTCGTCACTCTGATTCCAGTATCCCTTGTCCAAGAATTTTAAAATCCTCTGGGCCATATTTGGTTTTTCTTGATCTGTTTCTTTTAAATGCATCTTTGCTTTCACATTACCTTCAGAATCCCCTGAATTTTTCTCGACTTCTGATTTGGTATAAGGAGGAGGTCGATTCTTGTAGCTAAAAGGTTCGTCATCCTCAGATTCTTCGCCAGAATCACTTGTTAAAGTTTCTGCCTCGTTTTGCTTCTCATTTCTTCTTGTAGTCTCCTCTTTATTGTCAGTTGTAGAAGGAATGTCGTCTGGATTTCTATCATTTCTTTCAGGACAAACATTCTCCTCTTCATCATTTTTCTTCCCATACACCTGCAAAAGAATCGGGCAATTTGCAAAAAAGAAACTTCAGGCTCGAAAGGTACTGGACAATTTGAAGATATTGCAACAGAAGCTTGACCTGATCGATCATCCGAAGGGACATTCAGGCCTTACTTGTGCATTATACAGTTCATTTTCCAAAGCTTTTGAATTCCAATCCAAACCAGATTCTGTTGCTATATCTTGCATTAACTGAAGCTTCATGTCCTTTGATGGACGGTCTCTCTTCAACTTCTCTACAAACTAAGTACAAGAAACTGAAAAAAATTGACTTACTGACGAAAACTTTTTCATCATTTCACCGAAGCCATAATGAATTACTACCTCTTTATTGACATAATACTCGAGGGATTTCCCGAATCTTTCAGAAAATATCGTTCTTAGCTCACGTAATTCCGGCAGATCACCGAATCTTGCTGCTGCAAACATCAGAGATGATACAGCTTCCCTGCACTCTTCAGGACATTCCCTGTGAATGATAAGAAATATACATGTAACAATGAATTAGTCAATAAACTACACTTAGTAGTTCATATACATCTAATGCATGAAATGAATCCGTTATAATTTCTGGTGCTACCTAATCCATGCTACCAAACATGAAGTGAGACGGTTTATATACCTCTGTTTATCCATGACAATAAGATGGCTTGAGATATGCACACAAAATTGCTCTACTAAGTCGTAACATGTGGATATGTCGAGCTCAACCGGAAGTTTTTCAGCCTGTTCCACGACCAAAAAAATGAAGTGCAAGTCACATATTGATGGAGTAAAGAAAGCACATGCCATAAATCTTAATTCCTTTGGTAAACAATAGACCAAGAAAGTGTAGCCAGGCCGGACATGCGCGACCTGGTCTCTAGGCCCAGCCGTTGTGGTTCTTAAGCAAAAAGTTCTTAGCATATGTTTCGCTCATGTTTATAAATACACAATCTATTTTGTATCCATGCATTTCAATGGACCTATGTGGGCTCAAGTCATCAACTGTCACGTTAATATTACCGTTTAGAACTTGTTTGAAAATTGTTAATGACATCAAGAAAAAGAAGTTGGATAAAATTAAGATAAAAAACCCTCACCATTTGATAGGCAATCATATCAAATCCATTTCTAAGAAGATCAGCAATATCATTCCTCATATACTTCTCAATTGCATTTCTCTTCTTTCTTATCATTTCGATTCGAGTCTCTGTCAGTTTAATCGATGACTTGCTATTTCAACAAAAAACCAACAAAAACTTTAATCGATCAAGAGCATACACAAAGAATTGTAACTTTTTTTCTTACCATTTGGAGTAAAACTTGGTTTTGAACAGACAGTCAAACATTTTTGTTTCTGTTTCCTTGGTTTTGAATAGACAGTCAAACATTTTTGTTTCTGTTTCCTTAACCAGAGCCTGTAATTTCTTAAAATATACTAGGATAAAGATTGTTCTTTTACTGTGACAGGATGATACGCTAAGAATAAATTACATTGAAGAGTTACAAAGAAAAGAAAAGAAGCTGTAAAACTAAATGCCCCTTGGAGAAAGAAAAACAGAAATCAAGAAAATTGAAAAGAAAATAAGCTAATTATTGGATTTTTAATTAAATTACAATAAATGGAATTTAAATCGCCATTAAGAGAAGCTGAAAAGGTTTAAATTGGTGAATCTTTTGCAATTATGCAGTGATTAAGGAGGAATATGAAGGGAACC